ACGCAAAAGAGACATGACAAATGCTGAAGCGCTATATATCTGAGGCACTTTAGGGTGGGTTGAGATTTAGGGCAGGCTTATCTCAGCCAAGTAAGCCTCCCCCACTTTATATTTAACCGTAAACTTGAGTAGTGTACCATATCAATTGTAAATGAACTCCACATAGTATAACGTAAAAATGGGTACCAGAATAGCCCAATATTAGCCCTAAGAAACATGTAATAGGTGCTGGATAGACACCATGAGTCTATTTTGTATCTTGGTCAGTTCTGTACCGTTTTCTACCAAATGAGTGTTGATTACCAGCTATTTGATGTCGATTTTAGGGCCTGAAGAGACGAGAGGCATCCGCTATCATATTTTTGAGATATCTGTCATGCTAAGTTTCATGATTCATCAGGAGGGTGTACTCTATCTTTGTGAGTTCTCCATCATCATCCTTGATTAAAGGCTCGTTTAGAACCTATTCTAGTGTAGTTTGAAGGTCCCAAAGAGACGAGAGGTTTGCGTGTCCGCGTTCTGGAGATATGTTCTATTTTCTGTTTTGGGAGCAAGTACCCTAGGTCGGTCAAATTTCCATCGTTTCTTATGATCTAGGGCTCGTTTAAAACATATTCCAGTGTCGTTTAAAGGTCCCGAAGAGACGAGAGGTTCGTGTGTCCGCGTTCTGGAGATATGTCCCATTTTCTGTTTTGGGAGCAAGTACCCTAGGTCGGTCAAATTTCCATCGTTTCTTATGATCTAGGGCTCGTTTAAAACATATTCCAGTGTCGTTTAAAGGTCCCGAAGAGACGAGAGGTTCGCGTGTCCGCGTTCTGGAGATATGTCCCATTTTCTGTTTTGGGAGCAAGTACCCTAGGTCGGTCAAATTTCTATCGTTTCTTATGATCTAGGGCTCGTTTAAAACATATTCCAGTGTCGTTTGAAGGTCCCGAAGAGACGAGAGGTTCGCGTGTCCGCGTTCTGGAGATATGTCCCATTTTCTGTTTTGGGAGCAAGTACCCTAGGTCGGTCAAATTTCCATCGTTTCTTATGATCTAGGGCTCGTTTAAAACATATTCTAGTGTCGTTTGAAGGTCCCGAAGAGACAAGAGGTTCGCGTGTCCGCGTTCTGGAGATATGTCCCATTTTCTGTTTTGGGAGCAAGTACCCTAGGTCAGTCAAATCTTTATCGTTTCTTATGATCTAGGGCTCGTTTAAAACGTATTCTGGTGTTGTTTGAAGGTCCCGAAGAGACGAGAGGTTCGCGTGTCCGCGTTCTGGAGATATGTCACATTTTCTCTTTTGGGGGGAGTTGAGCTGTATCTCAGTCAGCTTTACACCATTTTTCTTCACTGAAAGCTTGTTTACATTGTATTCTGGTCGTATTTGAAGGAGCTGCAGAGATGACATCCATACGTGCTCCTATTTCCATGCTATCTCACATCCTTCCCTATTTTTTTTGCGAATTTTTATTTATTTTCATAATCATTTGGTTTCTATTATAGTTCTATGCTCGAAATATACATTACACTGTGTATCTATCAGGTAGACAGCATCTAATTTACCCAGATTTATAGTCACATCACTTTGAGAATTATGTGCCGGCTTGAGCCGGCTTTGGGTCAGCTAAAAGCCGAGCCGAGCCACTTAAGGAAATTTAGCTGGCTTACATAAGCCGGCTCTCGGCTAGCCGAGCCGCGGCAACACTAAAAAGGCTACAAAAAGTCTGACATAGACTATAAGGACCACTGATAGACTACAAAAGACTACAAAAGTTGGACATACCTTACAAAGTTTAAAGTTTACTAATAGACTATACAATTTACTAAAAGACTACAAAAGACTACAAAATGTTGGAAATAGACTACAAATTTTACTAACATAAGTTTCTAGTGTCCCCTTTTTTTAGACTACAAAAGTTTCTATTGTCTGCTATTTGAGACTACAAAAGTTGTAGTGTCCCCTTTTTTTGGACTACAAAAGTTTGTAGTGTCTGCTATTTGAGACTACAAAAGTTTGTATTGTCTGCTTTTTTGAGACTACAACAATTTGTAGTGTCCACTTTTTGAACCTACAAAAGTTTGTCTTGTCTGCCTTTTTGACACTACAAAAGTTTGGAGTGTCTGCTTTCTGAAATTACAAAAGTTTGTAGTCTGATTTTCTGACATACACTGTGTAGTGTCTTTGACTATGTTAACATTCATGGGGATATAGTTGAAGGATTGACATATATACATTGTTGCATTATTGGTTTTGGTATCATGCTCAACCTGTCTTTTGCATTAGGACAGTTGTCCTCTCTTTTTAAATCAGAAGCCACCATCCTATCTTTGACCTGGTATTCACATTAGTAGCCACTGTTGTATTTGACTATAGTTATTGTTGAAAGTGACTTCTCTGAAAATTATGAATTGTGTGTGATACCTGGCAGCCTATCCAGGCTTTTCATAGCATGATCCCTTGACACCTTCCAACCTTTCATCATTCAATCTTAGCTCATTCAGAAGGACTGATAGGTGAAGGATAAGGGGCAATTGGGTCATGTCTCTTTCTCAATCTTCATTGAGGAGTCATGTGAGAAAGACAATCTTGAAATTGGTAAGGCTTTTTCATCATGGACTAATGAATCAGAGTTAAGTATACTTTGAGAGAGGAGAGTAACTATTAACATGAAAGGATAGAATAGGCTCTACTTATGTCAAAGACAAGTTGAGCATGATACAAAACCACTGATGCAGAAATAGATAGATGGGTGTCAAGCCAACTCAATCCTTCAGCCATATCCCCATGAACGATAACATAGTCAAAGACACTACACAGTGTATGTCAGAAAATCAGACTACAAACTTTTGTAATTTCAGAAAGCAGACACTCCAAACTTTTGTAGTGTCAAAAAGGCAGGCAGGGCAAACTTTTGTAGGTTCAAAAAGTGGACACTACAAATTGTTGTAGTCTCAAAAAAGCAGACACTACAACTTTTGTAGTCTTGAAAAGCAGACAATACAAACTTTTGTAGTCTCAAATAGCAGACACTACAAACTTTTGTAGTCCAAAAAAAGGGGACACTACAACTTTTGTAGTCTCAAATAGCAGACAATAGAAACTTTTGTAGTCTAAAAAAAAAGGGGACACTAGAAATTTATGTTAGTAAAATTTGTAGTCTATTTCCAACATTTTGTAGTCTTTTGTAGTCTTTTAGTAAATTGTATAGTCTATTAGTAAACTTTAAACTTTGTAAGGTATGTCCAACTTTTGTAGTCTTTTGTAGTCTATCAGTGGTCCTTATAGTCTATGTCAGACTTTTTGTAGCCTTTTGCAGGCTATCCATGTCAATTTCCCTTTTGAGGTATGCACCTTCCTTTTTGGCACAATTTTCCCATGATATGATAATTGTAGCCTCTTCTCTTGGATTTCTAAATGTGTTAAAATCATCTTGTTTGGTTTTGTTTTCATGGAGAAAAATGCAAGAAAAAAAAAAAAAAAAGCTAGCGATGAGAAAAATATTTTACCTCATATCTCTACAATGAAAGCACTTTACAACATAATTTAAACAGATTCAGGAAGCTACAGTGCAGGACTACAATTTTTGCTTTTAACCATTTTAGGCAACTGGTCATGTGACCATTCTCCTGATGACCCACCTGACAGCAGCCAATGAAAAGGGCTGGCCTGCAATGAAAAGTATCCAATGAAATATCCTGGCCTGCAATGAAAAGCGGTCAATGAAAAGAGCTGGCCTGCAATGAAAAGTATCCAATGAAATATCCTGGCCTGCAATGAAAAGCTACCAATGAAAATGCCAGCAGCAATGAAAAGCAGTCAATGAAAAGAGCTGGCCTGCAATGAAAAGTATCCAATGAAATATCCTGGCCTGCAATGAAAAGCTATCAATGAAAATACCAGCAGCAATGAAAAGTGGTCAATGAGAAAGGCTGGCCTGCAATGAAAAGCAGCCAATGAAAATCCTAGAGATCAATGAAAAGCTACCAATGAAATATCCTGGCCTGCAATGAAAAGCACCCAATGAAAATGCCAGCAGCAATGAAAAGTGGATAATGAAAAGGGCTGGCCAGCAATGAAAAGTGGCCAATGAAAATGGCTGGACTGCAATGAAAAGCAGTTAATGATAAGTTGTGACCTGCAATGAAAAGTTATTGAAATGCACAAGGCCTCTTATGAAAAAAATCCTTATCATAAAAGGGCCTGGGATATATATGATATACTTTTCATAAAAGTATGTGGAGCTATGCACAAGGCCTTCCTGGCCTAGGCCATGGTTTTATGATAAAATATGGTAAGGACCAGTGGATCGGGAAGGTCGAATGCATGATGTTGATGTTAACGGGCACTCATCGTCGTTGTCGTTCCACCCACCAAGGTCGTCGTTGTGTTGAACAGATCGCCAAATGGACTGCTATTGCCTGCAGTGGTGATGGTAGAGTTGCCGGGCATAGAAGAAGAATAGTGAGGAGCCCCTCGACACGATTATGTAAGTGCTTGAGCGCTAGCCTTGAATGGGACATTGTCAAGCCCCCATTTCAGGATCGAGGCAAGGAAAACAACTTTACATTATGATGTATAGTTCGAAGAAACTTCGCAAAAGGGTGAAGGCATCAAAACTATGTCCGAACTCCACTCCGTCGTTTATGAATTCCTCCTGCATGCGTGAATAACGTGCAATTTCTACTGACCAGAATTCGTGTTGGTTGCATATTGCCAATACCGAGGTCGGTGCCAGTGGTGGGCTCAAAACCACGATGTATGCGGCATTGGCTTTGAATGAATAATGGAGCCATGCCACTTGTACTCCGTCGCGCGCATCACCTTCCGAACCTTGGCAAGTCGGAGGCTTTCGTCACAACTCCATCCCACAGCTGACACCTGCCATAGCACCCAACCTACACCCGTTCGTCCCTTCTGCTCTTAATTCCCATTCCTTTCAGCAGTCTTTGAAGCAGGGTTAAGGATCGAGCGCCAAGTCATTCAACGTGGTCCTCCCCATCTCTCAGAGCTTAGGGAATGAACATAGAAATTCCAACTAACGACCATGCAGGGGCCTTTTTGGAAAGACGGCGACTCGTTGAGAAGCTTGGGGCAAGCCTCGAATCTTGGGAAGCCCACAAAGCGGAAAAAGGGGGACACAAGCGGGCTTCCAGCTTCATTCCGCCCCTGCACATCGCCTCTCACTTTGTTTGTCTCTCCCTGTCGAAGAAGGTTGTTCCGAACCTGGTCCACGATACCCTCTCGTGGACAATGGGGACCTCGACTCACCCATTGTCCACTCCACCTTGAATCTCCCCCGAGGCTCCAAACACCGAAAGGAAGCCGTGTATCCGTGGGGTGTAAGTGGCCTTCTCAACGATTGACATCAGTCAGGAGGAAGGTGAGAATGGTGAAGAATTGATTGGTTTCTGTACCCGAGGGAGGCAGGCGGTGGGAGACTGGGAGGCGTAGACAAGTTGCCTGTGCAGAGAAGGGTGCAATTTGAGGGAACTGCAAAATCGACTTTCATTGGCGGAGTGAGCGAATGTGGGTGTGCGAGAGAATACGTTGAGAATCAATAGAGACAGCTAGGTAAACAATCGTTAGCTACCGCCGCCATAAAAAAGAATATAAACTCACTTGACGTTCTCCGTCAAGCAAACCCAAATTGACCTCCCACCATGCGATTCAAAACAAGCACTGGAACGCAATGCACTGAGCCACCGCGCACCTCCGTCCTAGTTTGCAGCGATAACAACAGATGTTGAGACAAGGGCGAACTCGGTGCCTTCTCACCCGGCCACTAACTTCGAGCGATGGCGACACTGGAAGGGCTGTTAAGGGAGACATGTAGATCGCGTATGGTTTTCTGGTGTTGGGTGCTGAGGTTACCCAGCTAAATCTGCCATAAAGGCTACCCAAAAATTTGTCAGCCGAGGATGCTATGTCTAGTGAGTACACCCCGCACCTTCATTTCCTGGAATTCTTCGCTGCTTGACGAACTTAGATGGGGAAAATGCAGAGTCCGACTGTAAAGCACCGCCCATCACAATATAAGTCTGAGGCACCTTCAATAAGATCATATGACTCCAAAGTTCGGGGTAGGAGAGTATGACTTTTCGCCAGAGCCTACAGACGTGCGAGGAGATGACCGATGTTTTAAGCGATTGGCGAGATATGCAGTTGACGTTGAAAATGAATATGTATGGACGAATCTCAGCCGAAATATTTGAAATCACAGGTTCCAGGCATTGAATTGTGGCTTCCATGCTGAACTTGGGAGGGTGCGTCAGGAAAAGTCAAGTCTTATCTGACATGTATCTTACTTTTAATAGAACTTCTTCCCAAAGGCCTAGTATGTGTTACGCCGGATGAGGTTGAGCAGAATTCAAAGTTGAGCACCAATAACAAGAAAGAGTTGTTGATGACACATGATCCCACCCAGCGAAAGAAAGAGATGATGATGACTTGGCCTTTCCCTTCATTCATCAGTACTTTCGTGTGCAATGCTTTGCAATGGCGATAAAAATGGACATAAGTAGGAGCGAACTGGAAAAGAAGAGCACAGGAGCTGTGATCCGAAATCGGGGATACGAAACCATGAGGGCGGAGGGAGACTCCTTTTTGGCATTCGATACAAAATGTTACAGGGCGGAGGGAGACTCCTTGGCATTTGCCGTATATCGCACTTGGGCCTTGGTTGTGTAACGTGCCAGCTGCGGAAAGAGAAAAACTCACAGTTCGTCGGCTGCTCTGATAATCCTTCTCAAAGTGCACAAGGAGGCAAGGACAAATACCCACTGCGGAAAATGGAGACGAGCAAGGGGAAGAGTCGAAGCCCCGCAAATAAATTTAGAAAAGCGGTTCCTGCACACGATTTTGCATTAGAAGGAAGCCAGCACATCGATAATCAACGCAAGGCTACCACATTTCTCATCCATCTCCCTCTGCTGTCTAACTCTTTCTACCCTCGCCTCAGCCTCAGTCTCCCGCATAGCAATCTGAGCCCACGACGGAAACCCACCCTCATCATAAGCCTCTTCTCAGCCTCCACCCACGTCCAACCCTCCGCCTCGAATGGCACAACTTCATAAGCATCAAGGTAATCTTCGTCAGTTGCAGCTGGTCGGTAGATGCTTGACAATAAGTCTTTCGGAAGCGCGGACCAGAATGGCATTCACATCCTTTCGCCAAACTCTTGTGCCTGCATTACATTAGTGAGGAGATAATTGATAGCTAGAAGAGATGACTGTCGCATACGTCGTTAACCCCAAGCGCGCTCTTTACACTCCACATAACTGTTACGGCCCCAACGGCCATTAAAAACGTCGCAATCCCAACAGCCTTGAACTCCATCAAGGAGGAGGTGAGATTGGCTTTAGATACCGCTGATTATTGATATGAGTTCGCCAAACGCCAAGAACTCCGACTCGCTCACTTGTCAGACGTGGTGGTGTTGTTGAATGGGGGAGTCACGGCGCCGTGGAGCTTGTAATGTTCGGGGATATTCGCGGAGGAGGAGGCGCACTCGAGTTGTGAGCTGAGTGAAGCCCTTTGCGACATTGCCTACGAAGCTTACTGACGGGAATGGCCACTACCCGACTTGTGCCGATGACCTGGAGAGGTTGGGTGAGAGTCAATCAGGAGTACATCGAGAGTGCTTACGGTAAATATTGGAGGCCATGTAGATACTTTCGTCCAGCTCGTACGCGTCACCGACGACGACAACGACGAGTCCGCCGTTGATGACGGTTCCCATCTAAACAAACGCAAATTTTACGAAAAATCACAGCCACATCCACGCATCCACAAGACATCAATGCATTGAAATTGGCGAACGGGGAGGAGTGGGATTCTAAGAACTTGCACGCTTCATGTAGGACACGGGGTGGCTTTAGCTCCTCCGTGTGCGGAACAGGTTCAGAAAATGAACGACGAATTAAACTCGCCACAGGTTTGATCAGTGCAAATTGTTACGTTGTCGAGAATGCTTGGTATGTTGTTATCCCATGCTGCCTGCATCGTGTTCAATTGTCTTTTTCCAGTAACTATGTAACCCTCTCTCTGTAAATGGGAAGGATCGCGTGCTGGGAGAGAGCACCGCGAAACCCTGGGTGGCGGCAAGGCTACAAATGAACGTTTGGTACGTGACATATAATGACTGCCAACATATTGCCGTCATTAGATTAACCCACATCCCAAAGGCCCTCATTCAAGCTTAGCGCTTATCTACGACATCAAGATAAAAGCCCCAAGTATCCTCTGTATCCATACCCAATCCATACCTGACAACAACAATTTGACAACAATCTCTTTCGACCTTCCAGGGGCGCAACACTCAAAAGCAAAGTGCTGGGCCACACCCCTCCAATCCGTCACTGATCTGTCAGTCTCCCCCAAGTCCCCGTCTTAGACCAGGTCGCAAGAACCTCTGGCTGCACATTCGATTTCGTCCAAATGGTCTCGTCATGCGACTCAGTCTCATCCTGTGGCTCGGTCTCGTTACGGTTCTGTGACTCTCGCGCACATATGTCTGCTCGTCTCTCGGCCTCAGTGGGTTGCATGTATTTTGTAAGTTAAGTCACAAGAAGAGCTAACGATTGGCTAGCTACTAAAGAGTCTAGCTCAAGAAACCCAACGCGCCACCACCACGGATTCATGTGAGGTGTCGTGCCTCTTTTTTTTTGCCCTCCACGCGTCGCAATGCTCAATTTTTCAACGGCAACCATTACTTCTCAGCAACGCACGGAGGGTATCTCTCCCCTGATACTCTGGCAGTTACGGCGATTAAGTATTGATTCCCAAAATGTTTGCTGGGGGGAAATCGTTTGGCATCATGTGCGTGATCTCGGCGAAAAAAAAAAAGTTGAACTTAAAGACCTCCTGACATAGCCACTCCGATTTTTGACCGCGATCCTCACGGTTGGGGTGCCCTCATCAATGCAAGTAAATACTCACATCTTCGAATGCAAACGCTGACGTGAGGGTTAGTTATTTCTGGTTGGTGGACTATTCTTGGTGTGCGTCTATTCTTGTCCGCCTAAATTTGGTGATCTATTTTAATGAAAGTATTCGCACTAACCGTTAACGCAAGAAGTTTGATATATTATATTCAGGTTTTACGCATTCTATGAGGATAGAGACGAGAAACTCAATTTGCTCGTCTTTCGGTTCTGCGACGTATAACTCTCATACAACACGTTGTCCGTCGAGGTTCAACAGTTCGGAACGATATGCAGAAACACGACATTTGCGTGATCTCGACAATAATAGTTCGAGACAAGGACCACTCCCAGCACACGGCATCGGAGGACCCTTGGTAATAATATCAGCCCTGGATGCTGAGAGATTTGTCAGATACTCCTTCAAGGAATCCGCTTAAATTCACAGATTTAAATTGACTTATACATAGAGGCTCATCAGGGCGACGGTCCTCTTAATGAGCGACGTTCCTCACTCAAGGTTGCGATTTCTTTTACGTCAATAATTTTGAAAGGCCAGGTCAACCAATTACCACCACTGCGCGAACTTGGAAGAAACATATCTTCCAATAGCTCGTCAACGGCTTGTGGCCAACTGTAAAATAGGCTTGTTTCAGGGAATGCAAGAGAAAGAAGATAGTACAACCTACGTCATGAAATCCAGACCACCACTATGGCTGTCGTTCAGCCAAGACAACATGTGAGGAAAGCGGGTCTTCATCCAGGCGGACTTTCGCTCCCCTTCAAACATGGCGTTTTCGATAGATGAGGGGAGGCGCATGGGATCGTTGCGAAAATACGACACTGTCCAGTGAGCAGCTACTTCGCTGATATAGGCGAAATCAGCAGAGAACTGAACCGATACTGAGTGAACATCAGAGCTTTCACGGAGGAGACTGTACTCACCAGTGCACCTGCAATCGCAAAGTCACGCCTGTTAATATTTTTCGCGGGAACAATGAACGGTGTATTGAAGTAACCCATTTGCTTTGTTCAGGGGATTGAGGGGGTGCGTTTGCCAGTGAAGCATATTTCCATTCGCGTTCAAAATTATAAGTCAGGGTGTGTCTGGCGATGCCAAGCTCTTCAGCCATGTCCTTTGAAACGGTGTCAACAATGGCATAGAAGGAATGGTAAGGAACTCTCACTTTCGAAGATAGGCGACCAGGAAGATTGATACCCTGTGGCTAAAATCACAACTTTCGCCGGAAGCGTCTGTCCGTCACTCAGGAGCAGAGATTTCCCGTCTTCGGCATATCCAATAGCTCGGGTAGGAGCAGCGAGGTCAATAAGCCCTGCGGCTGCCAGCCCATGGAAGCTGTCCGGCCGTACCAGTCCTTCATCGCTGATACGAAGACCCCAAAATGTTGAGTGTGTACGCCGGAGAGGGGATTCATTTGGAATTTTATATACGTCAAACTAGCAAACTATTAGTTAGAATCCGCATCTTGCGACTGTACCATAAGACGTACCGCACTTTTTAGATATTGTCGTCCAGACAAGCTGCGTAATGAGGCTCCCAACCCAAGTCTTGTGGAGGAACCACCTGTGTGAAAGTTAACACCGCCATGCGAGGTAGAAGGATCTCACTCACTCCAGGCACCCCAGGCGTGACGGTTCGGAGTGATGATGACCGTGATGATGATGATTGTGATTGTGGCCATTAGGCGACGATCGATCACCACACCTCATCATTAAATTCCGCATTGGCAGCAGCAGGCACATTCACGGACAAAAGGAACTTGCGAGAGGGATTGCGAAGGTCGAACCTGGTTGAACCCATGATGCTGTTGATGCTGATGCGCGCTGGACGAACTTGAATGGGGGAAATACAGAGTTGAACTGTAAAAGCAGCGCCCATTGACATCACAACATATATAGCCCCTAGGTACCTTCAACGCCAGCAGATTTCATTCTCTAGTCGCGAGCCCTGGTGATGCCATACAGAACAACAGGCTAGAAAGTCGAGCAAATCCAACGAAGAGGATAAGTCGCCGAGGAATGAGAAAGACGAAAGATTTGACGAAGGGAGGACGAGTCGAAAAAGGCCAGGTACGTGCTTGCGTGGTTGGATATAAAAATAGACCAACTCATCCGGGGGCCGTCCAATGCGGTTGCACCAAGGTGGTGCTAACAATTCGAGGAGCTGGCGCTGTGGCGCCCGTGGTGAAATGTCGGCCATAGTACGCAGCCGTGGTCGGATATAAAGGTACGCTCATTTCATTGAATAATCAGCACTCTTAACGATGCAGTTCCTCCTCTCAGCTTGGGCATTTGCACAAACTATATTTGACTTCACGCTCATCTCCAACTATGACAGCATGTCACTCACTCCTGGCACCAGGCATGCACATGGCCTGAGACAATCAAGAGCGCATGCAGCTGCCTCCGATGCCGCCATGCGCGCCTTCAAAGTGGAAGCCCTCGCAAGCAACGCGAGCTTCCTGCAGAGGCTCGACCCCGACGGCTGTCACCACGTCTCCCACAATTTCCTGAACTACCAGACCTACCCTGGTTATGACAACCCAATCGGAATCAGCGGGCCTGGGCCAAACGGGTACAGGATGTTCAGTTCAACATCTGATATCAACGACCCCAACACCGAGAGTCGGCTTCGCTACGATTTCGTTTTCAATGATGGTAGCGCTCCCTACACGGCCGTTTCATTCCCCATCCTATAAATATCGAACTTGAGCGAATAACGTAGGAGCATCTGGATTACCATGCGCGGAGCCCCAGACAGCGGTAAAAACTCCAACGTCGTCCTCCGGGAAGAGCTCTGCGTCGTCGGTCCCCTCGACCCCAACGGCAGCCACTACCACGACTGCGATGAGATCGACATCGCCGAGATCTACGATGGCGGGAACAACCAAGCCGAATTCACCTTCTACACCGGCTCTGGCTCGTACATCCCGGGCCAGCAACCGAAGCACCAGGGCGGCGGGGTGTACACCGACACCACCAATGGCGCGGCTGGCCAAGAGTTTTACAAGTACCAGGTGTATTTGGAACGGGGAAGTATCTCACGTTCACTATTGCGGATGTGAAGACTGGGCAGACGATTGTGGAAGCGGGATTATGGGCCTCCAGGTATCCCATCGAAGCCGTTGAACTTTTTCATGGGAGAGTACAATTGTGCAGCGAGCGGGCCCGATGCTAAAAATTACTGCGGGGGGCCTTACAATGGTAATTCATTCATGGAGATCGGAAGCATCTTATATCGTACCTGCGACTGATAGTAGTCATTAAAAAGTTGTATACATAGTTCGAGGAATGAACCAACATCAGGATCGAGACCAACATGCCACACCCTCACAAACTTCACCCCGTTTTCCTGCACGCCTGAATACGTCGCCGAGAAGTCGATTGTTGTGCAATTTCTATCGACCAAAATTTGTGTGGAGGACCCAGGTCGCGTGTTGCCGGGCTCAAAACCACGATGTATGCGGCGGTATTGGCTTTGGATGAAGAATGGAGCTCCACATACACTGTCCCGAACCTTGGCAAGTTGGAGGTTCAGGTTGCAGCGCTAGCACCCGATTACATCGAGCTCTACGAACCTCCACACACTTCCCCTCCTCTTGACATATATTGCGCAAAGGCTCTCTGGTCGTCGAGTCGGAGCACCGCGGCTAACGTCTCCACCTCCACCCAAAATCGCAACTCCATCCCACAGCAGACACTTGCCATAGCACTAAGCTCATCCACCGTACGCCCATCTGTCCCTTCTCCTCTTAATCGCCCTTCCTTTGCGCAATCTTTGGAGCAGTGTTAACGATCGAGCACCAAGTCAACGTGTGCGAATTCAACGTGGTCCTCCCCATCTCTCAGAGCTATACACTCCGGAATCAACGTCGCAAGTTCCCTAATCATCTCCTTGATATTATCCCTCCGTCGTCTCTCAACAGCATTATGGCTATCCCTCTCCGTCGTTTCTCGTTGGCCAGTAGAGCTTGTTTATCGCCTACAGGTTGTTGTCCTTGTTTTTGTGGTGCTTGTTGACCCCTTGTCCTCCGTGTGCAGCAGAAGGAGGAGAAACATGGTGGGAGCTCGACTTAATTTTGAGAGGGTAAAGGATCATAGGGAGGGAGCCCCATCAAATTGACAGC